GGCCGGGCCGCCCCCGCCGCGCTCCCTCCCGGCGCTGGCGGCGGGGCCGGCGGCGCGGGGGCCGCGCGAAGTTTGCTCGGTGGGGCCCGGCCGGGCCCCGCGGGCTCCCGCAGCCGCCGGGCCTGGAAAAGCGGCGGCGGGGCTGGCGGTGCGCGCAGGTGTGTCCCGTGGGGCGGGGGGGGGAGCGTGCGGTCCTGGCTCCGCTGTGTCTGGGGATGTGCGGCGCATTAGTATGCAGCGAGCATACTGCTGGTGCAAGGGAATACGGCGGCGGTGCCACATGTCCGAGTTCGTGCTGATGCAGAGCTCATAAATTACACTTGAGTGTTCGCTCTTCTACCCCCCGGTCTCGGCTCTCGTGCTTGAGTCTTGTTGGGGTTTTGTCTTTCCCTTTTCGGGAAATGAAAAAAATTATCGAAATGTTATTCTTTATTAATAGCACCGGTGTGTGGCTCTGGTGAGGTTTGGAACGTGCGTTTCTTTGAAAGGTGTAGGGAGAAGGGTAGAAATGCGGCGTCTCCTCTGAGTTCGGCAGTGCAGCCGACTTTAATGGCAGTGGCACATCAGCCTGCGTGGCGGTAGTTGAGTCCTTATAGCCCTTAAAAACAGAAATGCTTTTCTGAATGAAATAATGAAAGGCGGCAGGCTGAGTGACCGAGTTGGGTGAAAATCATGGCAAAACTATAAAATCTGCCGTTTACTGCTTCTCTTTTTCTCGCCTCCTGTTTTGCCTCCGGCATTCTATTGTTCCTGATGTTTTAAGCTTTTTTCCTGGTTGGGTGAGTGGGGAAAGGTGTAGATTCCGATATGCATATTGTCACTGATTTACAGTTTGCTTTTCTAAAACTGTTCTAGTAACAGCTGGGTTGCAACCTTGATGGAATGAAAGCACACAACAGCGTTACAAAGGAGACTGGGATTCATTAGACTCCTCCACTCTCAAGCCCTGATTCTGCAAATATTTAAGCATATATGGTTTCACGTGCCTGAGTTACCCACCAAGTTCCACGCGATTACCGCTTAATATCAAATCTGTTTACAGTGTCAGGGCCACAGCATAGGCTCACCAAATCTGGGTGAAATTAGACTATTTTTAGTTTTTCTGTCCATCACGAAAAGTTTATTCAGCCATTTATGTTTCTTGGGAAAACGTTCTTACTGAGATAAATCACTGTTTAAAAAGACTCTGGCGTCCATCCTGTAGAAACCTAGACAGAGATTTGTCAGAGAGTATGAAAATACCCCATAGTGTATTTGCAGTATATTAAGTATGGCATAAATTACATGCAAAGTCATAAACTCTTAATATGTAAACAAAACTACAAGTTGCAGTTCTGACTAACACTGAAGATGTCCATCTTGTGCACGTATGAAGTAAAAAAGAATACAGGGCTTACCTCTTCTCCTTTGCCCAAGTGTGAATGGCTGAAATAAATTCGATCTGTAGTTTAATGCGGGCATAGTTATCAGATATGTATTTATATCTCTAGATCTATTAGATATTTGATGTCCCAGTCAAATTGTATTTTTGCCTGAAAAACTAGTCTCGGACAATGAAATCATTTTTCATTTGTGCAGCATTCCAAAGTGCTCAGTACACCTTTAATGAAAGTCTATGTGGTAGATACCAAAAGTGACTTTGTGGAAAGTTTATTTTGGCTGCATGAAAATGAGCCTTATTCACTCTTTTTTGGAGGTATGCTAGGACTAACATTCTGTTTCCTTTCATGTATAAATTAAATCATTATAGAATCCACAGGGAAAATATAAATTCTTAGGGCTGAATCAAATCATTGGCCTCACACGGTGAGAACTGAAAATACAAAAGCTTTGTGCCTTTCCAGATGCAGGACTCACTTCTGTAAATGTAGGCAAATGAATGGCTTCACCCATGTAAGCAATTCAGGTAGAAGTTGATGGACCTTGTCACTGGAATTCTAATATTCATATACTTACGTTTTTGAAGAATGATATCCCTGAGAGGGAAATTTATACATAATTCTATATAGTTTTAACTTATGCTGCTGTAAACCAGCATTTGCATATGATCCTCAGTATTCTACTTGATCACAGATTTGCTAATGTCTATGCTGCTAGTTGTTGACTTTATTAAAAGAAATCTGGATATTTGTAATATTTTGCTAACAGTGGTTAAAGTCGTTGGTGCATTAAAAGCGTGGGACCACGAACAGGAGTGTGTTTTATGCAGTTGTGAGGATTGGTGTTCACAGTACAATCTTGCACTGAATTTAGTGTAAACTTATATGAATGCTGCAGAAGAAGCTTAAGGAAAGTGCAGGGACGGTTTTGAGAAAGTAGATTATCAAGAAGATGACTTATGGAGTTGAAATTTAAGGGAAATTTGACATCATTCTTCATGTAAAAATTTATGCTGTGATTATTTAATATCTACAGGTAATGCAGCGGCAATCTGTCATAGCACACCAAGTATATGCAGGATTTTATATTCTAAAACAAGGCAAAAAGGACTCTTTGAAAGAGTAATCCCTAGTTTCTCTGAGGGCAGGTTAGACCACAATGTGCTATGTGCAAGTGTGAGTTTATTTTGAGAACCTGATGGTGACTTCATGCCCTTGTCTTTGAAATTCAGACTTAAAATTTGAGAGGTGTTGATCTGGGATGTCCATATATCTTCCTTATGTATAATGAAAAATGAAATTAAATTTCAACAGTGACAGCTAAAGCTGAAAGGAACTTAATAAAGCAGAGGTAGAGCTGGATTGTGACTTGAGGTAGGACTGGTAAATTCCATGAAACCTCAAAAAAAAGGAGGCAGGGAGAAAGGAAGTGCAAGGAGTGAAAATTTGCCGGGCCTCCTTTGATCAGGAGTATTTGAAATAACTGTTGGATATTTCATTCTGTATACACTAAGTCTGCTTTGCCCCTGTGAGAAGAGACTTTTTGTTACTTACTGAATAGTCCTAAAGCTGGTTTACCTGTCTGCTGGGAACACTTGTCTAACATAGAGCAGTGTGATGTCGTATGCTGCTTTGCATAATTCTCTTGGTAATTCACAGTTATTTTCAGGTTGCTTTTGGTAGTAAAGACCTGTGTGTTCAGCTGTGTGCTTGCATCTTGATAAAGTTTGACTTGTATTCTGAATATGAGTTGTAAACAAAAAACAGTAAGATTTTTAAGTTGGATTGCCTGCTTATTGTTCTATACCGTTACTATATATTTATATAAAAGAGCAAAAAAGCTATTATATTAATGGCCCAGGGAAAAAAAAAGAATTAACATAGTTTATGAATGTAATGATGGTATTACTGTAACATGTGTTGCTGTCATATCACCCGATAATGCTTTTTGTACTTCAGCTCAGGGTTTTCTTTGCATTCCCATATGATGGCAATTTCACTTGAGCCCCATGAAGACAGACTGACTGGGATAATGAGTGTGCTAGATTTTTTATTCTTTTTTTCATCTTCAGTCTGACTAGGGCTTTAAAAATGAAAGCCACAATTTATACAACTTTGAGAGCTTGTCCTGCTGTTATGAAAGGTGAAGAAGAATCCCAGGTGAAGTACAGATATCTCTTTGTACTGCTCAGGGTAAAGTCTGATTGAGTGACCAATGAAATGAACATTCTTTACTTCTTTTTGTGCCAGAGCCTTGTTCAGTTATTCTGTGAGGTTTCTGCACAGTAGGGCAGGTTCACTTAGAGCCCCTCTCATTTTTGGCAGGTGTCTTTTTGTTGGATCAAGTCTTGCATTTAGTGAAATTTAGATCTGATAAACTGGAGATCCCTCTAAACAACACGGCAGGTTTTCAGTGGTTTTCATTCATGAATCTACTACTGTTTGCTTTTCCTTCACGGTGAATTGGAACACACCGTTATCTATTGCCACAGTGAGTTTGATAAATGCTGTGTCTGTGTAAGTTAAATAAGAGGTGAATCTTAGGCATGGCTTTATGCAGTTCCTTTGAAAGTTTTATGAGTTATGCGAACAAGAAATACTTCTAACTGTTGGAGTTGTTAAGAACCAAGGGACAGATAAAATAAATGGAAATGTTTATTCCAACAGTAATGAGCATGAATTGGCTGTTAAAGTGGTAGTAGAGTAAGACAGCACATAGGAGGTATGTTAACTTACCTCCAGATGTTTGCTCCTTAAGGACTTACAATGTAAGGCAGCAGAGTTAATGCAAGTTCAGTATTTGTAACAAATATCTGTGGCTATGGCAGTCAGAGGCAAACTTGCAATATGGTCTGTAAGAAAACTAATGCACTATTGCACTGATTGAAATTTTGTAGGTGGTGACAGTGGATTGGATGGGTTAGGAGGACCAGGAGTTCAACTTGGAAGCCCTGATAAGAAAAAACGCAAAGCAAATACACAGGTAAATTCTCTTTTGATTTCTTAATAAGTAGAGCACTCAAATGTTGTTTGCTGGTGTGACTGTCTCGCATTGTTCAGAGTATCAGTCTGTTGTCACAAATAGCAGCTGTGTACAAAATATTCCAGTTTTACCATGAAGTTGAAGTCTTCCTAATATTAGTTATTAGCACTAAAGTTATTTTAATCTCTGTAGGTTGCCATAGACCTATAAAGGCAGGAGCACAGAGAGACTGCAGCAACTTGTGTTTTTACCATATGGATTTGATTCTGAGACAGACTTTTTTTTAATGACTTTGTAGGCATTTGTAGAAGTCTGTACAGCATGAGTAGTTGCCATGAGACTACTTTTCTCTTTACTTTCATTTCATTATGTGTAAGTTTGTGGGCTAATGAATCAGAACAGTTTGTTAATGCTTTGACCAAATTCTTGGCATGCTCCTGAAGTTATTTTCAAGCAAAAGCTGTGAGGCAAGTATAGCTCCTTTCCAGTGAATCCCTGCAATTTGACATTTCTATGCAGTTTTTCTTCCCAGAAAAGAAAACCTGAATACAAAACATCTTAAGCAGTTGGATACTTGTAGTGCAGAATTTCCCCTTGTGTGTTCATTCACCTTTGAGTGAGAGTATCTGTTAGTTTGGTACTGCCCAGTGAGAGTAACCTCACTTATGTAGGTCAAACAATCACTTTCTGTTAGGCTTATCCACAGTCCATTGAGATGTGGATCTGTTCTCTTAATTTTTGTTTTGTTTTAAAGTAGTCATGGTGAAACCTGCTCTGAGAAATATTCAGTTACTCTAAAAGGTTTCAGACTTCTCTCATGGTGGAGCTTTCCTTGTGTTCTGGAATGATAATAACTTCAGAGGCTCTGCAGACTAGCTTCTGTTCTTTTCTTACCTGGTTCAAAATTTACAGTACAGCAAATTTTACCTTTTTTTTTTAAAATAAATGCTCAATCTTAGTTTATTAGTACTTAGGAGGAAATGCTTTCTGTGAGCACAGTTAGTGTAGGGTGAATGCAGTAGATGTTCCCTACAGGCTAATCTAGAATGAGTTTCAATTGTACAGCCACTTTGGTGACATTTGAACAGCTTCTGGGCTCTGTTAAACACTGTAACCAGAGCATAATCCTTGTATTTTATGCCTACTGACCATGCTTTGCAGACTGTCCACAATCACTGAAGGCCTCTTTTTTTGTACAGAAATCTACAGAGTGTAGAATATTCTGCAGAGTATAAAAAATACCATTCTGCTGACTGCTATATTCTATATGCCATTTTTAGGGTTAAAGTAACATTAGGTTTATGTCCTCGTAGAAGTAGGGTGTCTTAAGAGGTGTATATTCGGTAACATCAACCCAAAATGAGACTAAGGAAATGCTTAAATCTGCTCTTCCACATTTGGAAATATTTTGTGCATGTGTTTGTGGCACTTGGCTTTCTGTATTGTTGCTTGTCTTTTGTAAAAGGTTAAGAAATAGAAGTCACATATCAAGTAGTATTTTCAGAAGCACGGTTGTGCAACTGCAAAATTTTTAAAACACAGAGACTACTATAAATCATCATATTATCTGGAGCACAGACTTGCCCCTGTACTGAAATTTCAGACAGCCTGGCAGGATACAGGGGGTGAGTTTTACACAACAGCTGAACAGTTCTTTCAGCAGTAGTATTGGTAATCCAGGACCTTTGTGGTTGGTCTGTCTTGCAGGCAAATACTAAAACTAATTTAAATGTTGTATTTAAAATATTTGTAGGGATCATCATTTCCTCCTCCATCTGAATATGCTCCACCGCCGAATCCAAGCTCTGACCACCTTGTAGCTGCAAATCCATTTGATGACAACTATAATACTGTGTCTTATAAACCTCTTCCTTCAGGAAATCCATATTTTAGTAATCCTGGTTATCCTGGCTTTGGAGGCTATAACACTTTCAGAATGCCACCTCACATGCTGCCCAGAGTGTCCTCGCCATATGGTGGTTCTTACTCCCTCAGAAACCAACCACATCCTCTTCCTCAAAACCCTGTGGGCATGGGTTTTAGTCGACCTCACTCTTTCAGCTTTGGTCCACATGATAACCCAGGTTTTGGGAATCAGCCCCCTTATAGCGGTGGTCAGATAAATCAAAGTGTCAGTATGCCTGCTCAGCATTTCAGGCCAAATCCTGGGGAGAACTTTGGCCATTCCGGTCAGATACCTCACCCTGACGTGCCATCTAATTTTGGTCCTGGAAACAATCCAAATTTTCCAAATCCTCAGCTAGAGTCAAACCATTCTTTTGTTCCTCCACCAAACACATACAACCAGACAAAATCATCAGCACAGAAGCAAGACTTTAATCAAGGTGCAAGCAAAGCATCCAGCCAGAACACTGCTGCTCATCAGCATCATCACAGGACAGAGGACATTGTGAGTCAAGGTAACAGTGACCTAAAAAATGTTACTCGAAACAATGTGGTAAATCAGGATAATAGCCATTCCAACAGTGCTGACAACACCAATGCTGGGCATTCCAATGGGACTCAGAGTAAGTCCCGCCAGCCCCGAGGTGCTGCTGAAGGATGCAACTCTGAAAAGAGCAGCAAAACACCCCTTCATCCCAGTCGTCATGGTCACTCGTCCTCTGAACCTGTCTATCCATGTGGGATCTGTACCCACGAAGTTAATGATGACCAGGATGCCATCCTGTGTGAAGCCTCTTGTCAGAAATGGTTCCATCGGATCTGCACAGGCATGACGGAGTCGGCGTACGGCCTCCTCACGGCAGAAGCATCGGCGGTTTGGGGCTGTGATACTTGCATGGCTGACAAAGATGTCCAGTTGATGCGCACCAGAGAGACTGCAGGACCACCTGCACTGAACACAGAAGGCTGACAGCCTCAACTGGTGGTGGTGCATAAAATAACTTTCTATGAAGTTTTGGTTACAAATTGGCTACTTCACTTTCTGCAGACAATCAGTTGCGTTTGATTGCTGTCATCTTATTTTTCCCCTAATCTGTTTTCATTCATAAACTTCCATCTCAGCTTTTGGATTCTTAGTTTTATGTGTGCAAATGTTTCACAGGATGGAATATTTTTTGTTTCTGATTAAACTGTAGCTGACAATTGATCAGAAGTAGAATGTGCATTGACAATTTTATTGAAGGAAAAAATGTGCCTGTATGAATAGCCCTAATTTGCTAGTATTAATGTGTTAAATAACACTAGCATTTAGTGCTCGGTTTTAATGGTACTATATTTGCAAGTACTCATTACTTTTTTTTTTTGTGTGTGAATGTATGGTGATGTTCTTGCTAGCCTTTCTTTGAATATAGTGGAGATGACATGGAGGAATGTGCAGTACTAATAGTTGTTATTTTAGGGTAAATACAGAGAATTTTGTATGTGCTTTTTCCTATTTTTTGAAGTAAAGCATTAACATGCTATTCAAAAATTGATGAATTCATACTTAGTAACACAATGAAACCCGCTAACTCTTACACATTTCTATTTCCTTGAAAAGGCAATAATCTCTTTTGACTTCTCAGCAAACACTTACTTGCTGAAGGCTCTTTCTGGGTCTTGCGGTATTTGGAAATAGTTACGAAATATGATTAAATTGGAAAAAGAACAGATCAAGTTTATGAAGTCCAGTGCTTTAAATCTAGAGAATGCCAAAACTAGGGTTGCATATGTAACCTCAATTCATTTATCTTGAGCACATACATTAGGATACAGTGTCTGCACGTGTCATGGTTGTGCAGTTATGCACCTCTCTCTCATCCTTTCTCACTGGTGGTTCCAGTCTCCTGCCTCAGTGCTGCCCAAGAATTGTGAATGAACTAGTGCATGGAAAATCCTGCCCGTCTTCCAGGGCTTTCGGCTCGAACCTGCTCAGTCACCCAGAGCTTACACAGTCCACTTGGCACGAAGGAGGGTGCAAGGCAATGGAGTGTGCTCTGCACAGGCTCTGAATTGCATGATAATTTGGCCAGCAAAGTCTTAGAACTAAATTCCCACCACTGCCTCAGCCAGTCTTGCAGTGAGGGTGTGGGAAGTCGAGGGTGAAGGAAAAAAATACAGCTTTCATGTCAGGTGAGTTTAGCTCAGGAGTAAGTAATCAGAAGTTTAAGCTTCTTTGCTAAACCTGATATCCTGCTGACAAGTATGAATGGCACTAGAGCTTCATGTGTGATGCTAAAAATTCTATTTTAATATAGGTAATTTGATCTTATTCTTGATCTCAAAAATAACTCTCCTTTTTTTAATGTGGGGAAACATCCAGCCTTGAACAGTTCAGCCGTAGTGTGATAAAGTTGCATATGCAACTGAAGAAGTGTTTCTTTAGAGAGAAGTGTTGTTCTGACTTAATAAAAGGAGGCATTGTAATAACAGACTCTCCCTGTAATGCTCACCACTGTGCTGGAAACAGTCTTTAAACAGGAATTAAATCATATGTCAAGCTTACAGGTGCCAGTCACGTTCCTTAATGTGATAAATTTTTCAGGTCTGTGAGGATGAGTGATGTAGGAGCTGATATAAAATACAGTCATCAAAGTAAAGAGGTAGTTTTTATGATAAGCTATGCTAAAGAGTGAAAAGTAAGACCTGTTTGCTAGTTCACCATTGTGTCTGATTTTAAATGGGCTCTACTGTGGTACATTCCTGGAAGATACTGTGCAGACCTGCATAACTTTTCTTGCTTTATTTTAAAAGTGAAACATTTTGCTGGGTGAGTGCAGTATTGCCCCCTTTTTTTGTCTTGCCTCTCATCAGGAAAAAGAAAATAATGTCTGAAGTGTAAATGATATATTTCATATCTCGAGGATTTCCTGTATGGAGATATAAAGAAAGTGTAAGGCAGATCAAGGGCTTCTGTTTTCATCACCAGGTGCTTTAATTTAGTACAGAAACCAGACTTAATCTTGTTTTGTTAGAGGTGTGATATTTAAAAACAAACAACAAAAAAACCAACCAAGCAACAGCCTCTGTTAAAGAGATTTATTCTTCAGTAGTTTTCCTAATGACTGACAGACTGTTAGAATTTGCTTTTGGTACCTAAAGTAGCAATTAAACCAGACCTTGTTTAGATAGATTTGTTCCTCTGGGAATCAGTTTAATCTCTGCAACAATTTGCACTGTGAAAGTAGTGGAGCTGGTTCACACCTACAGCAACATAAATGAAATAAAAAATGTGCTCAGTGAAAATTCAACAAAACCAATGATGATATTGTTACCTTTCCCATTCCCACACCCCATGCCTGTTGTGAGAAGATTTTTGGGGCATTTTTTCTCAGAAGTCCAATTAATGGTTTAACATTTTGAAGTAGACATTTTATTTAAAATAGCCATGTATTTCTTAATTTCTTCCTTGACCCTACATGAAGTTAGGCAAGTATTTTCTAGACTAGCTGTCAAGGCATTAGTGTTCTTAGAAACTTAAAGTCAACTGGAATATCAGTTCATAAGGCCTTAAATTGTGTATTTGTGAAACTTATTCTAACAGTTTATTTTGTTTTTTCCAAACTGGTACTATGTTGGGTTTGTAACCCAGTAAATTTTCTGCATTCATTAACCTGCAAATTCAAGGCATTAGCAAATGTCAATTATATCAAATAAAACCAAGTGAACAACAAAACCCAAACTTGTTAGCACACTGATCATAGAGATATGACTGATGAAGATCTCCAAAAGTCATCCAGCTGATATGCTCACCCTACTGATACACTCTTGGCATACTTGAACTCTTTATCTAGAGAGAGGGTTATATTTTGTTTTTCTCTGCATGAATTGACTAGTAGTAGTTCAAGTATGCACAGGAAAAACAGCAATCATGTTTAATTAGTAAGGTCCTAGGAAAATGACAGCTGATTAGAATTAAAGTTAGTTATAGAAGGGTGGGAGGGAGGGAGGGAGGGTTGACTAGAGTAGGTGAGGGTTTTTGTAATATTCTACATGAAACAATTTGTATTGAACTATCATGTGCTTCTTTCATTACTAGTGATTTAGACTGTACTGGTGCTGCACACCAAAAATATTGCAAAGATTTTGTAAGTCTTGCAAACCTTAACATTTTTATGAGAAGTGCCCATGTCCCTTTTAAATAGTTCCTTGTCGTGGTCAGAAATGCAGCCTATATTGCCCAAAATGTTTTTGTTGGTTTTTTTTCCCCCTAGGCTGAAATAAATAAGTATAAACTGGATTGTATTGTCCTTAATACTTTGGGGTTTTTCACCAGTGATCACTTGTAAATGAGAAAAAATGTACTTTTCTCTTTAAAACATTTGTTTTATTGGTCAGGGTAAGTGACAGTGCTGTATATAAGATACCAAAAATCCTGTTTCTTGCTCTTTTACTGACCCCTTCTACAACTCGAGACAAGCAGGTTAACTATGCCTGCCTCAGTCTCCTCTTTGAGCAGGCTAGACTAATCCTTGCTTCCTGAGGTTGTTTAGAGGCCTAGTTATTATCTGAGATCTTCAGATGCAAGAAACTAGAGAAAAGTAATGAAGTTTGCTCTACTTAAAACAAAAATATAATTTTTAGGGGCTGCTCAAAGAAGATTATACTTTGTGACCTCTGAAGTTTTTAATCTAAGAACCAGTTTTGTAATCACATTTTTCAGGCTTAATTTCAAGCATGTGAGAATTAATGAAGTCAGTGGAACTGCATGCACACAGTCAAGAATGTTTCAAAGTGTTTGCAGTTTGGGGCCTGTGATATTTGCAAGTGAAATGCTTTTATGGTTTGAGATTTTTACAAAATCAGTGATGTTCAAATGTAGCACCTTTTCAACATTTGTCTTTATTCCAGCTTAATACGATAACACATTATCTGCATTAAGTACATCCCTTTCATTTTATAAATAAACATTGCCTGGCAGTAAAAGTATTGGTGTAACATTTTTAAAAAAAGGAAGTCATGCTTCTTATCATGTTGTATGTGACTTAAATGACTGTTTCATATTAAAACTAATCTTTCCTTATGTACTGCTTAAATATACCTGTTTTGGGATATCAGTTCAGTACTTTTTATACAATCTTGAATGTGTTCCACATTGGTGACATGTATTTTTGCAACAACTCCTTTGTTTTGATTTTAAATTAGAGCATGTCTGATGTAATACATGCATTAGTGCTGTGGTGTGTGGCAAAGTTAATGTATGTAATTCAAATTGGAAAAGTTTCCAGACTTTGTCCAACATTAGCCCTGTGGCCAGGGATTAAATTACTATGTAATACAAATTATTTCATACCATGATGTGTTTTAAGCTACTCTATGAAGTATGTGAAACATTATTGTTTATGGATCGGTAGCTGGTGTGGTATCTTGCATAGAATGAGGTTTGATAGGTGGTAGCAATTCATGATAATTATAACTAAGTACCTTTCAGAACACACAGCACTGGTGTGCATTGTCATCTTGTTGCCATAACTGTTAGTATGAATTTTTTAATATTATCCACTGACAAATGGGTGAACATTTGGTAGTCAGCTCATGGGTGTGAAAATTCTAACACTCTTTACTTGGTTTACAAAACATATAATTTTTTAATCTATTGGATGTGATTAGATATATACAGGAGGGTGTAGAACTGGATGTATTTTCAAGTTATTCTGCAATTGCTAAGTTTTGTCTGAAGCTTTCTATATTAGAATAGACTCTTCCTTAAAATTGGAAACTAAGTGTACTTAGCAGAACTCTTTAAGGCAATATAACTATCCTACACTACATCTTGAGTTATGCACATTCACTTCTTTATATGGAGCTCCTCTGAATTTCTTGCTTTATATATATAAAAAGGGTCCCTTTAGTGGCCTAGTGTTGTGTATCATCAGTTCTGGGGTAATTAATTCTGAATGGTGTTCAGCCCCTTAGAGGTGCTGCCTATAACTTAAAGTATTCAGTGTCGCCCTTAGTCTCCTGGTTCAGAAATGGCTTATCCCAACACCTTGGGAATACCTATTTCTCTATTGTTTGCCATACATGATTAATTTTCCTTTTCATCTTCAAACAAACTGTCTGTCTCAAAACAGTTTTTGATCCTACCCCACCTTTTTACTTGGAGATGTGTGCACTGTATTTCAGGAGTTGCTGTACTGGAGACAGTTTGGGATTGGAGTCCTGAGAGATGTCGTGTCTGTTCCTAGACACTCATCTTCTGCTCTGCAGGATGCTCTAAATCTGAACTTCCATATAACTTAAGGAGGGCAAGCTTATAATATATTTCCTCTTTTTTTTTTTTCCCTTTCTTGATAGTTTTTTTTCTGAAGTGTGAAATAAGAGAGTTGTTAGGGATTTTTATTTAAAAGATGGCCTTTCCTCCAAGCTTTTTTGTGTGGCCTTTAGAGCAAATACTGTGTTCTTCAGGGCCTTCTGACTTGGAATTTTTTTGTCCACATTCTCCTTTCAGTGTTAAAGGTGAGTTGAAAAAGGCAAGTTACCAATCTACTGCCATCCAAACAATGCAAAATATAAGATGATTAAGATTGTTGACATTTAATTTTTCTTTGTTTGTTAATAGTGATGTGAAATTTTTACCTTTCAGAAGAACATATATCAGAATCTGATTTAAGTGTTCTTGGAAAATGTATATGGTAGATTTTGTCTGGCACTGTATGTAACTTTGTTGCTTTCTGTTGTCTGGTTTCAGTTCCTTTTAAAATAAAGATAATTTTTGCGGGGAAGTTGCCTGTTGATTTTTATGAAGATGATGTAATGCCTAGATTGACTCTTCTACTGTTTTGCCTGGGAAAATGCATTTGGATTAGGTGTAATCCTGCAAGAAACAATATGAGGTCATACTGATCAGAACAGACAGTTCCTGCCTCTCTTGGAGAGCCCTGCTGTTCTCTAAAGGTGTTAATCTGAAGTAACTTCAAAGCAGATTAGAAGAGGTCTTGCACCTTCAGCCCTATTTCTTTCTTTACAAGATGGGAGGGAAGGCTTGAGCACCATTTTTCTGAATAGATTTATTTTTTTAAATAACTTTCTGCTCTTGGGAAGAGATTAATCAAATAATTATTTATTCCAATTTATAAAATTATTACAAAGCTCTTCCTCTTAGTTAAAATTCCAGAACTAACACATACCAAATCACTGCCTTGCCAATACTATTTCAAAGCAACTGATACAGGTGGTCCCAAGCTGCATATGCAAAACATTTTATTGTAATAAACAGTCTCATAAAATGTTCCTTCTTTTTGTGAAAGATGGGGGGGATAAGAAAGAGAATTTAGAAAGGATGGGAAGAAAATAGGTTAATAATTAAAGGTAAGAAAATGTAAGCTATGTAAAGGATTTTTTCCCCCATATATTAAAGCCTCTGAAGCCATTAGAAGTGAAATAACCCCGGAAAAGATGGATGTGTGTATTAGCAGCTGGAAGGTCCAGAATATTACTACTATTATTAGGATTTGTGTGGAATGTACATCTCTATCCTTCATAGCACAGGAGATGGGAATTTAGGAATTAGGTTTTTAACTGAATAATTTTTCTTTTCACTACGAAGTTTCTTGCACTGGAAACTTTTCACTACAAAGTTCTGACTGATAAAATTAATGCCAACAGAAGACTGATCCTGAATGGGCCTCTCTTTGCATGTGTGTCATGATGACAGTGCAGCCATTTGTCCAGGTAAGCCTGCAATGTGGAGTGTGTGGGACAGGGGAGGAGTTTCTGTAGATATACATCAATACAAGACTTTTAAGGTTGATCCAAGGCCTTGCTGAGTCCCTTTTGTCTCCTTTAGCAGCTAAATCTGCTACTTTGGCATAAAAGTGTGTTAGTGGTATTTACTGTATCTTCTACAAGCTTTGCACTGGAGATCTAGCTTTTAAGTAAATAGACTTTTTGTTGCTGTATTGGAGCTCTTTTGTGTAACTTAAGAAGACCAAATACTGGTAACCATAACTGTGTCCTGTCTTGTAAAGCATGTATGATAGTATAGTCCTTCTAGCAGGAATAAATAATAAGCTGCTTTATTTCAGTATATTCTCTGTGATTAAACTAAAAATGACACCTGGGTGACCATGGCAGAAGACCAGCACTCAAAAAATCTAAGACTTACAGTCCATGAATGAACTTTCCATAACTGAAGGATGTGTTCTGGATGACCACAGCTGCATTCTGGAGTGGTAGGAGATTTTGAGTTACTATTGCATTTTAACAATTCTAGCCAATGCTGCTATATATTTTGAGTACTCTGGGAATGGGGAACTTAATTCACTTCTTGGATTCCAATCCATGCAAGCATTCATCCAGATGGTATTGATGTGGGTGAGTGAGGGTGGAGAATAACCCAGAAATCATGTCAGTTACGATGGATTTCTTGCTCTTAAAAAGTTTTAAATATTTGTGATACCTACTTTTATATATCTATATCTCTCTATATATAGAGAGATATACACAGTACTTAAAAGTAACCACTACCATTTAATTGCTTTAGAATATAGGTAATAGAACATAAAAAATAAATTTTCAGTGATACACATCAGAAATCCTAGCTAATGTGTGCCATGTTAAACTCCATTTTTCTTGGTCATATTTTATAGGAAAGGGGGAAAACTAGACTTTTTGGTTCTGGATTTTTCCAGGCAGTTCTAGGTAATGCTATACTTTTGAGGAACTTCCACTTACCTGAATTTTTATCCAACTGTGCTTCGCTTGTCTTTCAAGCCTTATTCCCCAGAAGCAGTTACTTTCTATATACTAGACTTTATTTTTGCAGATACAGTGTTACTGTTTGTTTGAGGAACGTGGATCAACAATGTGCAAATTACCTCCTGAGTTTTTGGCATAGACAGTACTGCAGACAACATTGCGAGGCAATAGCATGGAGCTGCCGGCATGAGCCAGTTATTTTTAGGGGACATCTGGAAGTTTCAGTGCCAGCATTGCCGGTAGGTTGAGGAAGGTGATCCTGCCTGTGTGCTGAGCCCTGGTGAGGCCACACTGGGAGTACTGTGTGCAGTTCTTGGCTTCTCAGTACAAGAGAGACACGGAGCTCCTGGAGCAGGTCCAGTGGAGGGCAACAAAGTTGGTCCAGGGTCCAGGGAAGGCTGAGGGATCTGGGCTTGATCAGCCTCAATAAGAGGCTGTGTATAAATATCTAAAGGGAGGGTGTCAAGAGGACGGATCCAGGCTGTCAACCAATAGAACCAGAGGCAACAGGCAGAAACTGATGCCCTGGAAGTTCGACCTAAACATGAGGAAGGACTCCTTTCCTGCACAGTGACCAAGCACTGGAACAGATTGCCCAGAGAGACTATGGAGTCTCCCTCACTGGAGGGAGAACCATATTTCAGAACCATCTGGACACAATCCTGTGCCATGTGCTCTGGGATGACCCTGCCTGAGCAGGGAGGTCGGACCAGATGACCCACCGAGGTCTCTTCCAACCTGACCCATCCCAACCTGACTCTGTGTATTGCTAAATCAATCTCTTCTTTTAATATTTTTTTTTTTGCCAAAAATTCTGAACTAATAGCAGTTCGTCTCTTCTTGGAGGCGTAGTTGGGTGACAGCGGCTCTAAGGGCCGCGCTCCGCCCAGGTGTGAGCGATGGCGGCCCGGGCCCTGCGGGACTCCATGTCCCGGCGTGCGCCGCGCGGCCCGGCCCGGCTGAGGGCAGCGCTGCCGGGGCCCGCCATCGGCGATGCCGCTGTGGCTGCGGGAGCACCGCTGGCACCAGACCCCCACCGCCGTGTTCCTCACGCTGCCCCTGCGCGGCGCCCGGGCCACCCCCGCCAACATCTTCTGCTCCGAGCGGTACCTGAAGGTGGGCGGCGCGCCCCGCTCCCGAACGGGCCTGGTGCCGCTGCCCGGGATGTGCCGCGGTACCTCAGAGCTCTGCTGAGGAGCGCACGGGCCACACGCCATGGCAACGCTCTCGAGCTTTTATAATCTCCCTCTCTTTTAGCTTTTATAATCTCCCTCTCTGTCCTGCAGGCTGTTGGATGCCCGTCCCGCCACAGATAATGGCTTAACCCCTGCTCATTCTCTGTACTAATGCTCTTGCTACTCAACAGGTGTCACCTGTCTCATAAATGGACTGAATTATACACATCTGCTTATGTTATGAATAATAATTCTAATTATGAGGTCCATGGCTTCTGTCGGAGTGCCGAAGAACCAACTTCTTCAATCTCTTTAATAAAGAGGTTGAAATATATTGAAATAATAAAAATATAACCTTGTGAAGACCCACCCTCGAGGGGAAGGAAGCACCTTCCCTGAGCCTCTACAAACCTCCACACTGGATACAAAGCACATTAGTTCTGTCAATAGTATGTGTTTCTTGAGATTTACTGTGTGCTTGTGCTGAGTGTTTTGAATATGTGAGAGTTAATTGAAATTAGTAAATATTAGTACAAATTATATTTTTGTAGGTAAGCATCCCTCCCTTTTTATTTGAAGCCATTTTGTATGCTCCTATTGATGACACAAATAGCACAGCAAAGATCGGAAATGGAAACATTTTCTTCACTTTGTATAAAAAAGAACCGGCCATGTGGGATTCCCTAACCCTAGAAAATGGTAAGTTCTCTATTCTGAAAGTTAGATTGCCTGTAAGAAACCCATTCTGAGCCAACATTTTACAAACTGTAATGTGAAACTCCTGCTGGTAGATATCTGCTCAGTTAAACCTTGTTATTAAAAATAGAAAGTATGTGAGAACAAAGAACATCTACTGAATCTAGCACGTGTGAAACAAAACAATGTTTCTGTAAAACTTATATTTGGTGTGTAAGCAAATCTTAGTTTTTCTGTTTTGGAGATGGGCTTGATAGACACTGCTTTGTGGAATTGGAAAAATGTTGCATTTTCCCAGACAAAGTAGCAGAAGGAATCCTGTTTTTATGAATATGATACCAGTAGAATTCCAGGCCTAAATGACTAAAAGAGTTTTTATTTATTTTTTTAAGCTGACAAGGAAAAACTGCAATATCTAAGAGAGAATGCTGTTCTAAAAGCCCAACAAAAGGCAAAAGAGGAGACAGAAGCAAAAAAAGCTACAAAAGAGGAACACAAAAAATATGCTTTGGAGGCCACAATGAAGGTAGGTTTAGAAGGAGCTCTACAAGACACATACATGTAATAACTGCCAACTAATCTGACGTCTGCTTGGTTAAACGTACTTTAAAAAATATAAAAAGTACTCATTTTTATTATAGTGATGGTAAATCTTGTTATTTCTTTGCACTTAAAACACATTTATTACCAAATATGAAATTGATACAGGAAAAGTACTTAGAAGTTACCATTTTCCATTAGTAATACTAAAGAAAGTTTTTGGTGAGGAGCTCAGATTTTTGGCCGTTGAAAGGAGAGTACAGTCATGTAGAAAAACTTTGGTCTTTTGTGGCCTTTGCATCAGTGCAGCTGTTTGGTCATTTAGCACTGTCAAAAATACTGATTTTAGAAAAGAATCTTGTTTATTTGTTGCATTGTGATATTTTATAGCAGACTTGCTGTTCGTTGTCTTTTCTGTGTTTGCATGTTTGTCATTCTGCTTTTTATGTCTCTTTTAAGATATGTTCTTCAAAATTTTTATGTATGTAAAAATTCTGGTCACTTCATTTGTGTTTAGAAGGATTAGTTGAAAGAATGAGGCTTGTAAAGGCTAATCCGAAATGTTTGCTCTCTCAGTCATTTTTAAGCATCTTAGTTAATTCTGCTTATATGGTCACATTGATTACACTATGCTTCAGATATGAAACTGGGAAAATAATGGTAGCTTTTACTTAGTCATCTTAGTATTATCAGATGAAACATCTGATCTCAGAGGTTTATTGTTCAAACAGCTAGAAGAAGCAGAAAGAAAAAGAATTGAAGATCTGAAAGAAAAGGAACGGCAGAAAGTCACTGAAGAGTTGGAGTTATGGAAAAACCAGCAAAAAGATGCTGATAAATACAAAAGCATACAAAAAGAAGGGGAATTACATCAAGAAATAGGGCAATTAAAAGAGAGGAAAAATGAAAAAGTGACCAAAACTAGAATTCCTAATGAAGGAACTTCTAAGACCAGACCCAAACCCACAAAAGGTTGTATGATTTATTCCTGGATGTTTCTGATTCATCATTTATCTTTGTCTCCACCATACTGAACCTGTTCTATTAGTCTGCAGTTATTTTAAAGTATTTTCTGGTAATTTATTGAGCTCAAGCATGTGAGTTCTTAGCACTTGTTTAAGTCTTTGGAAATACAAGAGCAGGTTTTGTTCTAAGCTTTAGAAAAGTAAACCAGAAAGCCTTTCTGAGGGTGTAATGCAGGCTTTCTGGGGGTGGAGATCCTGTTACCCTAAGTTACCTTACTGCTGCATTTCATAGAAATATACAGTCTCCTTTCACTCTCTCTATCCCATGTCTTAGTTCTATGGAGAGCCAATCCAGGGAACTAAAACAACAGAAAATATTTCATTTCTTGTTTGTTTGCTGTTATAGGTTAGTTTTAACTCTTGTGGTTGTCAGAGCATCCTACAAGTGACAGAGATAGAGGTGTAAGAGGAGTTTGAGTTCATTTGTGACAGATGCTCTATCATTCCATTTATTTACTGGCTACATTAACAAGAAACATTGTTTGAACCTTCCCTTCAAAAGAACAAGTCTAAACCTTTCTCAAGTTATTAGAGGTTTAATCCTATGTGTTGCATTCCTAAATTAGGTGTACTTTGGACTTCAGTAGAAAACCCGTAAACTCTCTTTTGCTTGATTTTTTTCATTTCCAGTACTCCAATTCTTTTCATAGGTCATGCTTCCTGTAGTATATTTTCACCAAATGTAAAGGAAGAACAGTTACCAGCTCCTCGATCTGCTGCTACAATTAAAGTCAACTTTACCCCACGAGTTTTTCCTACAGCTCTGCGAGAATCTCGGGTCGCAGAAGAGGAGGAGGTAAAGTAGTGAATTGTTTATTGTGTATTCAGTAAGTTGACAAAAATGGTACCTTTGCCAAGGAATGTAACCTGTGCAATATATCTTCCAAGGAAGGCAGTTGTATTTAAATTAAGATATAAAGAAATAATTGTATGTAAAATTATTTTCACCATGTGATAGTGCAGGTTAATAAATAGCATGTTCCTTTTTTGAGAGGGGGAAGGCAACAATATTAATTTAATTCCTTGAAGTACAAAATTTGAAATGTCTTTACTCTTATATTTAAGATTCTTTAAGTTTTGTCTTAAAAAGAAGCTCACTGCTCTTTCAAGCTCAATTGAATGAATACAAAGTAATTTTGGAAGATTAAAAACAAACAAGTAAACCAAGAAGTATTAGTGATGCAGTAACTTGACTTTTCATGGTAATAAAATAATTGGGAAACTTTGAACTTTTTCATATCTGACATTATTAAATATTTTTCTCTGTCCAAAATATGTGGCAAATAGAATTCTTTTGATAGTAGTGAGTGAAGAGATAAAATCCATTTTTGGATTTGAATTTTTCCTTCAGAAATAATGCTTGCCTATTTTGTACTTACAGTGGCTACATAAACAAGCAGAAGCTCGAAGAACAATAAGTGCTGATTTGTCTGAGCTGGAAGATTTAAAAGAAGAGGAGAAGAATCCAGATTGGTTAAAGGACAAAGGAAAGTAAGTTAGATTCCACTTGAAGATATATTGAAACTTAATTAATTATTATGGTGTTTGTGTACTGTTAGTTTTGATATTTTCTATTTATCCTAAACATGGATGGTGAATGTCTATAGAGTAGTCACAGAAGTCATAATAGAGATTTTATTGGCAGCTTATGGGGTTTGGATGTGATAAAGTCGTGAGACGCAATTGTTGAAGCCCATGATGAACAAAATCATTGTAAACACATCATTCTTCTCTGAAGACAGTTGAGGCAGTGCACTATTATATCTAGGTGGATTTCCTTTCATTTGAACTTTTTAGGGAGAGGTGAGACATCTGTTTAAAACAAACTTTAGGAATTTTATGAAAATGCTGGTTTATTTATATAGCTGTGTTGTACAGAAAGGTTTGATTAGGCAATCAGGTACACAAAGCTTTCAAAACTAGTCCTGTGTCTGCAAAACTGTGTCCACCTCTTACAGTTCTTTGCTGCTTGGAAGCAGTGACTTTTTAGTGTGTGTATGTAAGTTTTATTGTCTGCATCAAGTTGGGCTGAACTTCAGCTGTGATGTTCTCAGAAAAGGCTACAAATGTGCATTTCCAAGGAAAAGATGCTAAAACTTCAAATATTTGAAAATGAATTGTTAGTAATTAGTAGGTATTTATTTTGTGTTCATTACCTTCTTTAAAGTGCACGTTTCACTTTCTGTTTAACACTTAGCAAAATGTTTGCAATGGGAAACTATCTCGCAGCTGTGAACGCCTACAACCTTGCAGTGAGGCTGAACAACAAGCTTCCCCTGCTGTACCTGAACCGTGCTGCCTGCCACCTTAAACTGAGGAATTTACACAAAGCTATTGAAGATTCCTCTAAGGTATAAAAAATATTGTCATCTTATGCATTATTGTGGTTTATTGCTGTGATGTTTCTGTTTTAAGCGGATCTGTAAATACATATTAGTGTGATTCGAAATTTTAAAATTCAAACTTGATGTAATGAAGCCATGCTGGAATATTGAAATTTGATAGTGATTGATGAACTTTCAGAAATTTAAAACAAAAAAACAATTAAAAAAACTCTAAACCATGCTTCTATACATTTGGGACAAATGGCCGTATGTTGACTAGCCTTTGTTTCTTTACAGATAAAAATATTGTAGCAATATATACACTTGAAAAAAACCACATCTTGGAGCAGAAAAAAACACCAAAACAAAATATACACAGATACCTTTTCTATTACACTGTGGTGTGCTTCATTTGTTGGAAGGAAAAATAAAGGTGTGGTGGTGATGAGCAGGATACCTTCAAAAAACCCCAACAAACCAGGCATTTTAAAAGAATGTATCACCTAGATGTTTTAGCAGCCATTATTTGTGCAATGAGAGGAGTGATCTCAATTGCACCTGAATAATGTGGAGGAATTTTTGCCAGAATTATTATTTTTTGAACTAATAAGTACTTGAATCTTGGTTATTTTGTTTTGTTTTTTCCTAGTAACTACTACAAAAACACATTTGCTTTTTTAGGGCTGTCTTTTTTTTTTTTTTTTAATAACATGGTATGTAATATTGTGTATGCAAATAGAACATTATTTGACTGTAATAAACATTTAACATAGTATTTGTCAGTTTTTAGCCATGGCAGTGTAACTGTAATTAGCAAACTGGGGTGATGGATACAAATCTTAATGAATAGATTCACAAGCTGTACAGTTTGAATTTGAATAGTTATTCCTATTTCTATTTGAATAGTTATTATGTTACTGTATAATAATAGTAATTAGGTGAGAGACGTGTGTGTAAACTAGAAAAACCCTCAAATTATGGAAAATATTCTTATAAATACTTTGGGTGTTCTCATTTCTAAAGGCACTGGAGCTGTTGACACCACCTGTTCCTGATAATGAGGGTGCTCGAGTGAAAGCCCATGTGAGACGTGGAACAGCCTTTTGTCAGCTGGAATTATATGCTGAAGGTGAGGCCTTGATTTTATGAAAGGGTGCACATGAATTTAGAGTGACAAGCAAGTAATTCTGTTTAGGTCAATGAGACTGCTCACACCTTTATGTTTTCAGGAAGGACTTTGAAGGAGCCCTATGCAATTTATGTCTCTGTTATGAACCTTGATACCACATTCCTTATTTTTTTTTAATTTTGCTGATTGCAATTCCACTTGAAAAATCTTGAAAAAATACCTGAGTTAACAGTGTCCCTACTGAGTTCTTCAAGAGTATCAAGTTAGTTTTGTAAAGCAAATTTACGAGTGAAAGCTGATAATAGAAAGTGAAGGATATGCAAAATGACAGTGTTGAAGTGCTAAGCTTTGGCCATTCTTTACTTTCTCCTATCTATGAATCACTTTGTCATTCCCTTACAGCTTCATTTGCACTTGGAAATCTTGTGAAAAAGACAGTTAAATAAGATTTTACTTCCTGTACTCATTATTTGCTAACTCCCCCCAAGCTGTAGTATTCACAGTTCATGTCTTCTTTTCCTTACTTCCACACATTCATTTCTGTCATTCATTTTTCCTCTCTTCTGCAGAACACTCCTGTTGTGCACACACATATATGTAGGTATATATATGTGAATGAAGGACTCTGCTTTCATGTTTTAAAACCTGAAAAGTTTATGTAGTAGAGTGTTTCCACTAAAATGTTTGTAAAATAATATAAACAAAATATAAGTTTATTTACTGACAAAAGGTAAACCTGATGTCATTTTGATTCCATCATCTTAAGAGTAAAACTCAAAATCAATACTTCATGCTTATGACTAGGGAGCAGTTATTTCCAGGTGGTTGCTAAAGAGGATGCTCTTGCATTATTGATTGACATTCTTATTAATGTATCTATATTAGGTCTCCAGGATTATGAAGCAGCTCTCAAGATTGATCCTAAAAATAAAAATATAGAAAAAGATGCTGAGAAGATTCGACACCTAATTCAAGGAACAATGCAAGGTTCTTAATTCAAATAAACATTAAAAAAAGTTTGACAGAGATGCCTTTTGAGGACATCAGAAGAAATCTTATTTCTTTTCAGTATGTGTTAACTAGACATTTTTTGTGCTTCACTCAAAACACCTACAGAATTGGTAATGGATTGGATATATGAATTAGTTTTTCTGGAAAGTATAGTATTATAACAACCATAATTAGATATATTTTATCTCATTTTGATAGAGTTGTCATATTTTTGCTTTTTGTTAGCATTTGTGTTACCCTGAAAATCTGAAACACTGGATTTGAGGCTGTTCCGTTATGTTAAGCGTTCTTTCCAAGCTGTGACCATTTCAACTACACTTCTTTCAGCAGCAGTTTTAGCAGACTTCTGAATTTTCCACATTAGTCTGTTTCCTGAATACCATTTATGACTGATTTCTGTCTTTGTAATAAAATATTTTTTATGCAGATATATATATATATTATTTTGTGCAAATTCTATACTGTTGGAACAGGGAGAAGGTTGCTTCCAGCTGCTGTAGTTACAGCCTTGAGAGGAGTGCTGAGGTGAGTCAGTCTGGCGTAGTTGCTGTCTGTGCTTTCCTACAGATACCTGTTGCATTGCTGGAAGGGGATGCAAATACTGTTTTATAGCACCTGGAAGGAGGGCAGTGCAGGAGCTTTAGTGCCTCAGTTGAGTGTATTGCTATACTTGCCCAAATATGGCTATTTTATATAATTACTGAGGGGAAGTGAGGGCTAAGGAGGAGACACACTGGCAATGGGAGAAAGAAATGCAAAGAAGCAAGTGCTGGCTGTAAGTTCACCTTTTATTTTTCCCCCTGAAAAGGGAAGCAAATGTGCTTGGTGGCATGAACACTATCTGCCTGTTTCATCTGATCACGATGGGAGCAAATGCATGTTAAACCTGTAACTTCAACACCTGAGCTGATGGTGTGTACACCATATCTGAGCCATGTACATTATGTTGGTATTTAATCTCCTGAAATATAAGAATGTGGAGACTGACTTTTAAAACCAGAAAATACTTAAGATAAAACAAGTAAACCTTCAGGTCACTGTCTCTTGCACTCTTTGTAAAGTTAGAGTTCCACATTTATGAGACCAGTTACAAGAGTTTTATTTCTATGGGTTTAGGTCTGATTCAGAGAACTGCATTATCAAATAGGCTCCATCCTTTTTGGTACATCTTATTTAACCCATCTTATTCAGCTTTTCAACTCACAGGACAAAGCATTTCAAATTTGTTGAGTGTTTGTGGTCAGAGCAAATATTGCTCAAGATGTGCATTGAAATGCATGCAGGGTGGAGAGTGAGGAACTTAACACTTTGACCTTATTTAGTAAACCGTGGACAGTGATAATTTGACTTATGATGACTATGGAGGATAATACAATTTGGAATTTGCATTGATTTCTGCATTAGTGATAATCTTGAGCATAGAAGATAACATATGTGGCAGAGATAATTAGTATGGGTAATAAAGATAGGAATGAGATTAAGAATACAGTGAAGCTTTATGGATGATGTGTTTTAGTTTTGACTTTTTCTAATATACAGGAATATGAAAAATAGAGGCCTAAAGAAACATCCAAGTGACTGTACTTACTCATGTGCATGAATTTTTATTTTTATTCTTTTCCTCTGTAGGGAGTGAGTTAACATATGACAGATACTTTGTTTATGGAAAGTGCTCTAGTGCTATATTAATGAGCATGTGGTAAAACTGCACTGAATAAGGAACCTCCCTTAGTGTTGCTGAGCAAGCCATTTACAACCTGCTGTTCTTCAGAGGTGCCGTGAAATCTTTTTTGTTTGTTTCTCAGTCATGTAACATATGAAGAAAACGTTTAAGTTGCTAGCTTAGATAAACCTCAAGTATGAAATTCTGACTTTATTATTGAGGCCTGTTGTTGTCTCCCATATATGTTTTGTTCCAGTATTAGAGCACTGTTGGGACCTGAATCTCTGGGATTTCGCACCTCCTCTGTGCTGTGCCTGTCGATGAGATGTGCTCTAGGTGTTTGGTGGGGGTAGGCAGCCTTACCCCCAGTCTGAGTGGCTCTTGGGACAGGACAGCTTCTCCTGGAGCAGCATGGCCTGTGCTTCTGGGAGACTTTTCAAATTGGTTAATTCCTAGTCACCAGTTTTTCCACCTGAGACTGGAAAAATCAAATATTTGTGGTCCATATAAGGCACTTTTTTTTGGGGGGGGGGGCGGGGGCACGTTTTGGAGTGTTCTTTGGTGGGGCTTTTTGTTGGTTGGTTGTTTTGTTTGTTTTTTGGAATTTCTTTTGGGATGTTTGGGTTTGTTTTGTTTTTTTTTTTTGGGGGGGGGGGGGGGGGGGGGGGGGTGTGACTTGTTTGTTTTTCCCTTTCCCTAAGTACCAGCGTTACCGGCAGAGCCCCCCCAGCGCCGGGCCGTCCCTGTGCCCGGTTATCCCCTGATTACACCGGCACAACGCCCCCGCCGTGAAGGTGCCTCTGAGCGACCTCCCCCTGGGCACAAACGCGGCCGGGGCCGCTCGGCCCGCGCTCGGCGGCGCGGCGTTGCCATGGCGGTGACCGGGGCGGGCCGGGCGCTGCGCTCCGTGGGGCTCTGCGCTCCGGGGGACGCCGTTTCCCGGGTGGCTCTGTGGGCACTGCGGTTGCCGAGGCTCCCCGGGCGCTGTGCTCCGTGGGACGCCGTTTCCCGGGTCTCTCTGTGGGCACTGCGGTGTCCGGGGCTCCCCGGGCGCTGTGGCCGCCGGGCCGCGGGGGGCGCGGGCCGCGCTCTCCCGGGTGCCGCGGGCGCCGCCCCGCGCGCAGGCGCCGGCCCGGGCGGGCCCGGGTTGTTTGTGACGGCGTCAGTGGCGGCCGCGGCCCCTCGTCCGTGCCGGGCCCCGCGGGGGCCGCGCTCAGGTAGGCGGCGGGTCCGGCCCGCGGGGGCGGTCGCAGGGAGCTCCGAGGGGCTGCCGTGGGCAGGGGCTGCCCGGAACGGGGCACAGCCCGGGGCGCCGGGGTCGGGGCAGCCGCTGGTGGTGCGGGGAGCGGGTGAGCGGGGCCGTGCGGGGCGGCCGCGCTGCTCTGCGGGGCCGGGCGGGGGTCACTGCGCGGGGGTCACCGCCGTGCTGGCCCCGGCCCCGGCCCTGGGCGCTGGCGTTCGCCAACTTCCTTCCCTCTCATCCCGAGGCGCTGCCGGCCCGGCTGATGCAAGGTGCTGTGTTTCATAAACACCGGCACTGTGTCTTTAGCCGCGCTGGCCCCGCGCCGCGCTCTGCTTCAGGTGCAACAGGAGCACCTGTGCGAGAGCAGCGCTGGGTGCTGAGCAGGGAATGTCCGGCGCTGGCGTGGCCTGGCTTTCAGAAGCCACATTTGTCTTGCTGAAAATCACAGCCTGTATGGGTTGCTAAATATATTCCTGGAGAAGAATGTTACTCTGGGAAAAAAAATTGCGACTTAGCAGAAATAATAAACTTTCAGGAGAACGTTGAAGAGTAATGCCACTAAACCTGGTTTTATTTCTGTTGTGTAACAAAGAAGCTATTGTGGAAGAGAACTGTGAGTTTTTGCTTGCAGTGACAGCACAGCAAACTCCACAGAACACATTCACATTCCTGTTGGTGCCTGTTACTCATCTTTGTCAGTGCTTATTGAAGGTTGTTTTTTTTTCATCTAGGAAATCCTCTTTTTTTAAATGCTAGAACTTAAGGATTTGTTTAGATTGGAGTGGTTATTCTTTCTGAGTCTGGTATTTATTCTACTTCACAGTGGATAAATAGGATGTGGTATCTCATGTTTATTTTTATATAGATAACTGAGATAACTTGTGTTACATTAGCAACAATACATATGGCTGTAAGCTTTCACACCTTATGCTTCTGGTTTGCATTTCACTAAGGGTAGGAAAATAGTTCACACTTCTGAATCCCTGCCTCCTCTAATATGTTAAAGTTGAACTCTGAATATAGTGGATATTTATTTTGGCTAGATAGAAATAAAAAAGGTGGTGGCAGTAGTGGCAACGAAGATATCTAGTGAGAATACAAAACCAGTGAAACTGTGTGTTGGGGGTGTGGTTTTTGTTTTTTCTTTTTTTTCCCTAAGTCTTTCCTTCTGGCTTAGCCTAACATACATGAGATGTGTGACACTACTGTATCCTCCAGTTATCCCTGCCATTATTGGACTGGAACCCATTGATGTCATCTGGATTTGTTAGGAAGTTTGCAGGCTTTATGTCTGTTTAATTCCTTAGTAGCTCAAAGCTACTTTTTCAAAATAACTTGCATTCAGGAAGTGCCAACCATATCCAGCACCTTTAGGCTGGTAGGAAAAGCATACTGGTTCTTACTGGATCTTTGTCATTTGGTGGAGAATAAGGCTGGTGAAATTTTTGTGAGTGGATCAGTTTAGCCATTCAGTTCAGATTAGTCTTCTGTATTTCAATTTACTTAAGGGACTGGATTTGACCTCAGATTTAGTTATGACTATGTGTGATTTAGTTATGACTATGGGTGTTATTAACCTCTTACAGAAATAAGCTGTTTAGCTGATGATTGAAGTTCAGGAACACTGTACCTAGGTAATTTTTTTATTAAAGTTTTTTTAAGCTGATTTTGTCTTTTAGAGCTAACTAATTATTAAAATGCCTTACTTTTGATAACTGTTTTACACATGTATGTTTAGTGAATGAACTTGTAGGAATGCATTGACCCTAAAGCTGCCCTTCAGTGTGATGCCAAGCTATCTCTGTATCATCGTTTGGCTAAATTTAGCAATTCTACCCACAAACCTCAGTGTTCTTGTAATTATTCCTTTTTTATTCCATTATTTTTCTTGATACTAAAAACTTTTCTATTTTGGAGGCTGATCACCTGTATGCAGTTACACACTATTAGTATAATATTATGGTTGAATACAAGATAAGTAACTTTTAACTCAAAGTCATGTATCAAAGTGAGCAAGTAATAGAAAATAATGATTGTTTGTCTGCTTCTTTCTCTGCTTTTTTATAATATTTTTTAATGATGTCAGTGCCCACACAGTTAGGTCCTAAAACTTGTGTTTGGGAAGGGAA